TAATGAAAGTTGAAATTCTGGACCTCTCCTGGTCGTTTTAATTTTCACCAGGAATCCAAAATCATATGATGCTCTCATTATTGCTACCTATTTTTACTGCAGTTGGCTTGCAAGTCAATGCAACGAAAGTGGCAGACAATTTCATACAATTGTGCTTCTTGAATGTCACAGCCCCAAAATAAGAAATGAATAAAATGTTGCAAGAGTTTAAAGCACAGAGTAATTAATCATCGCTTTCACCTTACCTCAAAGTTATCTCCGTCTACTTCAGATTTGTCAGTATACTTTTTTCAGAAATAGCTCCGACTGTTCATTTTAGTGATAATCAGCACTAAATTACTCGATGTTATCAGTATCCCTGCAAAATTTCAACACAACCATAAAAAACAATGCCTATGCGATTATTGTGTAAGTTTCATACGACTTTATGGACCGAACCATTTCTTTCCAGTTTTATACAAAAAACAATTTTTTTCTGTTTCCTTTAGCCTTTTCCTATTTATGCCATAATATTTTCTTTTTCGCCTTTTCAATCTTAATTTAAGATTTGATTTCATACGTAATTAAATTATATCTTTTTGCGGCCTTGTGGGCTGCATGTAGAAATGCGGGTTGGACCGCAACTTTAGAGTAGAGAAATGGGCTGGACCGGAATTTCAGAGAGTAAAAAAATGTAGAAATTGCCAGATTGCTTGGCTAGAGAACCACATTACCTGACGCAGCTGATTAAATTATCTACTGGAGTCTAAAACGATTGTCAAGAAATTGTTATAATTCATAACAAAGCCTGAAGGATTTTTTTAATATCCTACGTCAAATTTAAGTGCGAAAGCCTGCTGCAGTCCTTCTTCACACACGAATGTTACAAAAAAATGCATATGCGCCGGTACGGAGCACTACATATTTTTGACAAAAACACGTTGGAATTTTGTAAAGTGTGGAGATTTTAGAAAATCGCAAATATCTGAAAAATGGGAAATAATCACCGTAGTCTTCATTTAATAACATCATAAACTTAAGAATCCTTTCAGCATTCTCCTGTTTTTCATCCCCCAAGTGTCAACGCAGGAAACGATTAATGTGAACATCGATTCGTTTGATGGCAATATTGCTGGTCCCAATGTATGTTTTGACTTTGCGAATTTGATCTGTAGCCTTTGCTAATTTTGTGCAAGATCCTCAAATTTAAAAAAAATATGAAATTCGAAAGAAATTTTCCGAATTTCTGATAATGAAATTTGAGCAGATTTTTCCTATTTGAAAAAATAATGAATTTCGAATTTTCCAATCTGTTCTAACACGCCAATAAATTAAAATACGCTAAAACTGTCTTCCAGAGATCCACGAGAAAGATAGTCATTGGCAGCGCAGCTGCTTCTGGTAAAGTTGCACAACTTCTGAATAAATTTAAATTCGACTTCGGTAAAATTAAGCCCTGGAGTGTTTTCGATTTTGGCTTAGCTACAATGCAAAATTTTTTGGAAGCATGAAATGATGCCAGATCGCTTTTCTGTTTCAAAAAATCATTGCTATGCTAGAAATAAAAATACGCACTCAGTCATCAATTTCGTACGGTACTTGGAAATTTTCGCCGTTGTATTTTTCAGTCATTAAATGGAAACGGTAATTCGGCGAGTCAAGGATACGGCGGTGGCGGATTTTATCCTGGAGGTGGATTTGCTAATCCGGTTGCCGGCGCTGCCCAAGTGCTAGCGTATGATATTGGACAAGATTTGAGAATGTTAATGGGTCGCTAGCTGTTTTGCGTTCTTGAAAATCGTATTAAAGAATGATGAAAATGATTATCAGGCTTACTTTTATTGGAAAATCCAGGATCTCGGTTTGCCGCAGTTCTGGTCCATTGCTGCTGCCAAAGCATTAGGACAGTTTCTAGCAGGCAAGAATAAAGCAGTACCTTTTTGTCTAGTTTCAGCTTAATTTCTTCTACTAAATTAGCTACATTTCCCCTGTCCTTCTAAAGCTGCTTGAGCGTAGGCTTTGGAACACTGGCAATAATTATCCGAGCAGTTTAAGTATTGTTAGTGGTGAAAAGTTATCATTTAAATGATACTAGATTTTCCCACAAATGAAAAAAGTTTGACAACTTTTGAACAGAAAACGCTAAAAGAGGGGGTTTTGACAATAACACCAAAAGTACTTTGAGGGGCGAGACGTTGTAATGTTCGAAAACACCATCATTCATTACATTTTCCACTTCATTCTCTAGATTCAAGCAATTTTATTGCAGAAAAAAATCCAGGAAAAAAATTTAATTTTCTTTTAAAACTAAATCGTTGCCAAATTTGGGACCTAGGAGGTTCAAACCATTTCACTGTGACTAGAAAAATTACCTTGAGGGCACTGATAGAAAGTTATATTTAGGGTGGGCGGTTTTGACGAAGTTGCTCTAAAGCTACGCGAACCAGTACAAAAGACGGCCTGAATTCAAACAAATATAGGCCAGCAAAAGAACAGCAAATTGATTTTTTTCGATTGATCAGTTGTTCCATCGTCGCGCTTCTCATTTCACGTTCATTATTTTGTGCTTCTCTCATCCACGTAATTCCACAGAGCCATTCGAATAGGTCCATTGTATTAATGGCCTTCCTCGAGTTTTTCTAGCATTGCGTGGGTACTGTGTAACGATTTGTTTCGTCGATCTGTTGTCTCTCAAATAAATATAATGCACGCACATTACTCATGCTGAAAGAGCAAAATTTCATGCACTGATTTGGCTCACTGAATTCTGCAATATTTTTTGGTATAAACTGAAAGAATAGCGTTTTTTCAGGACTGTAAATATTTTTGTGTATGTATGCACTTGCATTTGCTTGAATAATTGGAGCTAAAAAATAAATATTTTTAATCATCACCGTGCCTTTCGGGCAAACAGAATTTTATAATTTTTGGACAGAAATTTTCATCCAAAACAGGAAAAAAGAGTTCGTTTTTAAATTATTTTAAGAAGTCAGTTTTTGACTATGTATGAGGAATCAGCAGTTTTTCTCCTTCTGTATTTATGAATCCAAGCGATCAGTTCAGGCTAAAAACTGTAAGCAGTAAACATAGGCATTTTGATAAGACTTTTGTTGTATCCTAAGCTACGATTTTGACTTCTAATGAGGTTAATTTTGAATTGAAAACGAAAAAAGTTGTAGTCCCGGTATTCTAGAATTAAATTTACCAGACGATCCGAGATGAATGATCTGAAATCGGCATTAAGAGGCAGATGGGTACTGAATTAAGGTACTTAAATTCAAATAAATGCTGGTCTAAAAATACCCGAAACTAAGCAGTCCATGAAAGCAACTTTCCGTACAATATACATAATATCAAACAGGTCATTAGGGCATCACAACAAATTGTAGTCATGGTCTATTCTACTCTATCCCAAAAGGAACCAGCTTTTTGAAAGTATGGACCTACAGAAGGAAATTAAATTCAACCATTCATTCTTTCTGGTTTCTTCGAATCGTGTTCTTACTCAAAGCACCTGGAATTTTTCCGTAGCGCGCACAGAAAAATTCGTTCCAAGAAAATTCGATTGTTTTTGGTCCCATGAAAAAATTTCATCCAAGCTTTTTCTTCCATCCTACACCTTTGCTAAGACTCACAAAATTCCTTTGAAATAATGAAACATAATTAGGTGCTTCATATAATTGTGCTTTGAAAAAAGCTCAAAATGTTAAGACTACTTGCAGCTAATTGCGTGTTTTACTGCTCCTTATTTACTTCGATGCTTTAACCAACTGCAATCCACAGTTAAAAGCTCAAACTTTTCCAGATACTTTTACCAGTGCAGTTTCGCCTGATGGTTACTTTGGTTTGTTAAATGCTGCTTCGTCTGGTGACCGTACTGCTTTGACCAGCGCCACATTGTCTAGCAGCCTCTTGCTTTAACCAAAGATGTATTGTCTGATGGTCAGCTTGGTGTTGATCCTGAATTTTCCAGTCTTCTACATAAGATCTTTTAAACAGTGCAAGTGAAAATGAAATTTTTAACAAAGAAATTTATATGGACCTACTAAAATACCTTAAAGACATGCATCACAGTTCGCCAAATAAGCACACATCAGCGAATACCTGTACCCCTCCCCATATTCTGCTTCTCAAATAGTTGATTTTCCAATCAGTTATTCTGCTTTTGGCTTGAAGTTAGCCTTAAGGATTGTTGAGAAAGGTTTCGTGCTCTCTTGCGCCTTTGCGCTAAAAACTTTTGGTCCAGAAACTTTGTTTCTCTGTTTCTTTAGTTCATCTGTCAATGGTCCTTCTTGAAATTAGATTAGTACCAAATCAGTAGCAGTAAAGGATTTCTCATAGAATGTTCCATTTTCACAGTCTTTTTGTTTATTCGGCTGTCCATTATGATGACCACTACACATGTTAAAAATCGCTTTGTTGCTCGAGAGCCCTATTATCATCGATCCGATGCACTCTGATGTCCATTTCGGAGCGCCCTGAAATCGCCGACTCGGCTTGATAACAAGAAGGCTTGTATTTCTTCCCTCAGCTGCGAATGCCGGTACAGCCATAGTGCAGTTTTAAATTGGTAGTATTTTTTTGGTCAAGGCTGCCACACTCGCTGGTGAAGATGCTGGTAATTCTGAAGTTAATTTCTTTGGTTCCCTTTTTTTCAAATTTTGCACTTGAAAAAAATTTGATGAAGCACATTCCCATCACAGTTTCGTCCCCTTTTTTCATACAGTTCTTTTAAGCTCATCCACGGCAACAATTTTCCATTAAGAAACGTAGAAGGAATTAATGACTCTAATCGCATTTAACTGGATTAATTATCAAGACTATCCAGAATAACCAAAGCAATCGGTTCGGAAATCGATGCAGCGGTATTATTGAGGTCCACTGAACCCACTGCTTATCAATATGCCATCACTTCGGAGGTAGCATAAGTGGTCATTTAAGCGATTATGTCTTGATAATATAAAATTGATTTATCCGTCAATGATGTTATGTGGTCTCCTATTTGGTATGGTATTTACACAAATTTTGTGGAATCGTAACAAACATGGAGATGCAATATAGAAAATCCAGCATATTTCGAATCACCCATTGATTATTCTTGGAATAGCTCTAATAATGCTACTTTAGCCTAACAAATATCTTTGCGTCTAGTATCAAATAATAATAATAAAATGTGATTCTTGAGCAAATGGTAACAGGTACAATCAGTCCGTTTATGATTCGCTTATTCGTTTCGGTGGTATTGGCACACATCAAAGAGTCAAACCCGCCATCAGCATGTTGTAGCAGTTCTTGAAAGAGGAAGCTATCGACAGTCTTATCGGTGGGTGAGTGGTTCCTGATGGCATCTCTAACACTCGGGCTACCTTTGAAATGCTTCCACCTCTCACTGACAGTAAATACGGAGCTGGTTTCTTTCTTGACTTTTTGAAGGCTATAGAAGAAAGGTGATTAATTTAAAGAAGTAGGAATAAATAATATAAATAACTGAAAGGAAATTTTTTGATCCATCAAATAAATATTGATAATGGCACACAAAGCGAATGGCTTTGACAGCGCAAAATAATACTTAGGTACAGCAGTTTGCGTCTAAAAAAAAGATGACGATGAAAATTACAGCATTGTTTTCGAGTTGAAAAATTTCTTCGCTGCATCGAACAAAACACTGAAAAGTGTATGAAAACAAGTTCCTTTTACAGCGATATGTTGCAGACGGTGCATAGAAACCATACGGTTAGAAGGCCAAAAGAAGTGGAAATGGTGGCTGGCTATTACTTTACTTCCTGAACATTTTTTTTTTCGTTTTTCGCCTTATCATTTCAAAAGTTCGACTTTGTGCCAATGAATTCTCGTTTGCTTTCTGCTACCTATCCTCGAGAACCGCTACCCCTGACTGCGTCTGGGGATTAATCCCTAGCAATTTCCTCTACGATGTTAAGGGAGAAATTTTGAAGAACCACCGATGGAACCAAACAGTTATGATCCTATCAAACACTTTTTTTCCGATAAAAGCGATAAAAGAACCTGGAAAAATGAGCTCCGAAATTACTAGCAGGTCGACGACCATCAAAATCACTGGTAGGTAAGGATTTGCTGCGTGACCAGCAACATCTCCAGTTACTTTGACTAGCGCTGCATCGTATGGTACTCAACCTGTTGGCGATTTTGACGCTTTATCGCCTCCTAAAAAGTTTACCAGCTCTGTGTCCCCTCTACCAGAAGCACTCAACAAAGCTTTAGTTGTTTCAAGATGTCACTTGTATGTGTTGCCACTACCCCCTCGCCTGAAACGTCGCCGCTTCTAGAAACTGTGAGATATGTTTTTGATTAGAAGCACAACAATATCTTGGAAATCAGCGGTCAGCAGGAACCACAACAGTCACTGCTGAAAAATGAGTGTGGCAAATCCAAGGATATTCTTCGTGATTTAAGTATCACAGAACCTTTTGCAGACACTACTCATATCGACACTACGCAAAGGTTCACAGAGAACTGAAGCGATGCGGTCGTAATACCTTCCAAAACTGGATTTGGTGGCCGTTAAAGTGCCGATGATTTTTTTTTTTTTGAATTTTTGTTTCTCTTTATTTGCTTTTGCTTTGATTCTCGGCGAAGACGATGAGTTATTCATGAAGGCTTTTCTCCGGGCAGAGCCTTCCCATGAAGGTGTATTCCTGGTTTCCTTCTTTTTTTTTTCTTATGGAAAGTTTTGCTTCCTCTATGGCTCGCCACTTTTCCACTTCGGGGCTGACCTAACGCTTCCTTGATCGGTGATGCAAATTCAGTCAACGACTGGTTCGATCGATTTTTAAACCAGCTTCGGCCGCACCAACCATAGAAAGAGCAAGATTTAAGCAGCTTCAATGATACCAAATGCCTGAGGGGAAATGATAGTTGATCAATATCAAAACAGTTACGATTGTACCGTCACATATCGTAATAAGATTATTCTTATTGCTACCAAGAACACTAAAATTTCCCAACTATAAGTATGGTAACCCATGTTAGCGATGTTACTGAGTTGCTTCCACATGTCGGACGCAGCTATGCCAGGCAATTCGATCCTAAGCTGCATGCCCTCCGTTAGTATCTACCGTCTGTTCGATTTTGTCTGGGCTATTTCTTCGGGGGTTTTCCGAGTAGTCGCTTGCTTCCACCATTTGCCAATGCGTAACTCCTACCAAATAGTGGCAGGATGACCACAGATCACGCCATTCGGCTTTTCGCGTACTATCAGTGACATGTTTCGTCGCATTATTCAAAAAAAAGTTATTGCAGGATTTCAGGGATGTTCATAATCCGAATGATACCCAGCAGAACGCATTTCGCACTCTTTATTGTATTAATGTGAGTTTATTACTCAGGAAATTTAAAATGTTTAACTGTCACAACATAAAGTTACTGGTTACGGTACAGTTGTTTTGGCGAAAAATTGGTGCTTTGACATACACATGCAAGTTGTGCTGATTAAATTCCAGCAAAGCTTTTTTTCAGGACTGTGCTGTTTCGCAGTATATCAGCAGAATCGTATAATTTCAATATTTTATCGTTTAATAACAACAAAGCGGGTGATAATGTAAGTTATTTTTTCTTATAAGTCAAATCTACGTATTCAATTTTCTCTTCTAAGTTCGAGATTCTAGTAAGTAAAATATCTCATCGTGCTGTGGAGAAGTGCTGATGCTCAACATTAATACCAGCTCGAAACGACTAATTTTAACCCAGCGGTTCTCTGTGAAAATCATTGAGCAGGTAATCTCTTTAGGAGACGAAAAAACATCAAGGCCGCCAGCAGGCTGTCCAAGGGAAGACGCAGCCTTGGTCAAAACAGCTGAAAAAGTTTTACAGCTGCAAAAATTTAAGAAACGTATTGTTACTTATAGCTGGTCGAAGTATTAAAGTGAATATCGGTCTTGAATGCCATGAGAGCAGAAAAATTTTCAAAAATCCTGCGGACGCGCTATCCTTCTGGTGTAAATGTTGTCTGTGATTTTTTGGTATTACATTAATCAACATTGGTGGCGTTATGCCCTATTTAACAAAAGCTGCAGAAATGTGGCCAAATCTGACAGAAAATTTAATTCCTAAAGTGGATTCTTGCAGAAAAAAGTAGCATAGCTCAAAAAAAATGCTGATTTGAAATTCTAAAAATACCATGATCGCCCGGATTTGAAATTCTAAGAATACCATGATGGCCCGGATTTGAAATCCTAAGAATGCCACAATAGCCCAGACAAAGTAGGGGTATCCCGTGCTAGTGATGCTGTATCGAGCACAGCTACGCCAGGCCCTTCGATTTCGGGCTTTATGCCTCCAGTTAGTATCAAAATATGTGGACCACGTTCCAAAACTGCAACGCAAAACAAATGCAATTGGCTCAAATACAAACCAAATGTGTGCTTTAACCGGCTTGTGGAAAGTAGACGAATGGTGCAGTGGATCCGAATAAGAAAAGGAGTGGTTCGATTCGCTTTCCGTCCGCAACAATTTTCAGAAAAGAAACTCTGCCAGCGACGGGACGTTCAAATGGTCGTCTGCTTCCTGACGGGTACCAATCACTTATACACGACACCCACCAGTTACTGGCAGGGCTTGCAACATGATATGTTTATCTGATTTTATTTTCTTGAACTTGGAAATAAAAAATAATAACACTTTGAGGCGGGATGAGGAATAGAAATAATAAAGATTACTGGTAAAATAATTAAATATGTACGAAGAATGATAGAAAGGAAAGCACTAATTAAATTTCTAAGAAAAGTACGGAAAGTCTACAACAAAAAAAGTGAATTTTGAACAGCGATTTCAGTCGCTGAATAACAACGCTAATTCGGTGGATAAAAGCGTTGGAAGCGGTGGCAGCGGCGGCGGTGGTGGAATCCAGGCGTCGTTCAGTCTTCCAGGAAGTCCATTAAAAAACCTGGCTGCAGTAGTTACTCACGGCCTCAACTGGTTCCTTGGCGATTATTCAAAGCCATCTTCAGTGAATCCACAAACTCCTGCTCCGGCAATTCCTCCACCAATACCATCAACTCCAGCAAGAACCCCCTTACCGTATCCCGCAGATTCGTCAAATTCAAACCCAATATATCCACCAAATTATTACCCGGGCCCTAACAGTAAACGTCCTCCTCCTCCATACGGTGGTGGCTTCAGACCGCCTCCTCCTCCTCCATACGGTGGTGGCTTTAGACCACCTCCTCCTCCATACGGTGGCGGCTTTAGACCCCCTCCTCCTCCATATGGCTTTAAACTGCCTCCTCCCTAGTCAATTGGTGGTTGGTGAGGTCCTTAGAACTCACACGATTACGAATACGGGGTTGAGCTGAAACACAGAAAATGAGTGAATGCGATGCCGTTACTAATTCTGTCAAAATCTTATTACCCTGAAACATTTGCTAGATTATCACCGACCTGTATTCGGAAAATCCTGCAGTTGTGAAGTCGAAACAGTAACATCCATTTCGGTCTTGCGCTCCTCGTAACGGCAGTACACTATACATTCGAACTTATCAGATCAGTCTTGGTGGCCTTCCAGTTGTTCTTTTAACTTGTCGCAGGTGCCAGTCGATCATTCGTCTCGTCCATCTGTTGTCTGTCATCGTTGACTATAAAGTGGTTCTTTTTAAACCCTTCAGGGCCGTTTTCTAAGAATTTAGCCTGTTTCTTTTCTTTTTATTTGTAAGCACCGGTAAAACTTGTGAACGCAAAGCTGCCAGTTCTAAAGTCGAGAAACTGAAGAGTTGCCTTGCTGTTTTTACATGGTACTGTGAATTAGTACCGAGTCAGATTTCCAAATATTTTAATTATATCGCTTTTTTGGCGACTTTGGCTCGAGTCGCTATTAAAATCTTACGGGGCTGGACCATTAATTCTAGTATGCTTGTACGCCTGGCTGTGCTTTGTTACTGATATGAATAACACGCAAAATATTCGAATTATTTTCAAAAATCGACTTCTTGCGTAACCTGTAAAAGACGCCGTTTGTTTTTTTCCAACTATTTAAGTATCATTTTGCTGGCCTTGTCGATACCAGTGGACGTCGCGCATTAGTAAGTGGTAATAGCAAGAAAACTCGAGCGGCTCGCTGAAAAGGTAGCGCACAAGCGTCGACTGAGTGCTGGATAACATCTGTAGGTAAGCAGTCCAGAATCGAAATTCCTACTAATACACCTAGTAATATCGTAGACACTGAATACCCACACTGAATGCCAGAAGATCTTGGTGTTCTTGGTACATATTGCATCCCAAATAGCTTCCGCGGTTGGGCCGTTTTTAGCGAAGATTCAGACTGAGGGAGACACAGTAAAGCGAACAATATCTTGAAAATTATAATAAAGAAAGTGAATTTGAACAGCGATTTCAGTCGCTGAATGGTAACGCTAATTCGGTGGATAACAGTATTGGAAGCGGTAGCAACGGTGGCGGTGGTGGAATCCAGGCATCGATCACTGTCCCAGGAAGTCCATTAAGAAACCTGGCTACCGTACTCACCCACGGTCTCAACTGGTTCCTTGGCGATTATTCAAAGTCATCTTCAGCGAATCCACAGCCTCCTGCTCCAGCAACTCCTCCATCAGTTCCACCAACCCCAGCAAAACCTCCTTTACCGTATCCCACAGATTCATCGAATACGAACCCAATATATCCACCAACTTATTACCCAGGCACTAACAGTAAACCTCCTCCTCCGGGTGGCTTCGGACCACCTCCTCCTCCATCATACGGCTTTAGACCGCCTCCCTCTCAACCATATGGTGGCGGGTCGAATCAGTATAGCGGTAGGTGGGGCCCATACGGATGAGGATGAATTTTTACACAGAACATGAGTGATAGCGACGTCGTAACTGATTTCAGTTAGATCAATACTTTAGGACCACTTTATGAAATTTTTTTTTTTTTCTTTGATAAGCACCTACAATGAAAATCGAGATGTTCGCATAGAAATGTGTTAACCCCGAAACTTTTCAAGAATCTGATGACACATCTTGCAGCTTTTAAATAGCATATGTTATTTTTCTAGTCTGTGTTCATTACTAGAGGGGGGGGGGGGAAGAGGAATGTTTCATAATCTGCCCTGAGAAATCAACTATGGCATAGTATGGACTACTTCAGATTGACAATTAATTTAAGTATATAAGTGTATTTCTGCTGTCACTTTCGGCACTGTTCGACTTGAGCTTTGACCCATATCGTCTGAATCAAGACCATTTGCTCTAAAATTCGCCGCCTGTTTTAACTATAACTATTTTCTGTCGTAAATAGCACGTCAAATCATCGAGCTGTTTTTTCGATGAATTTTTAGAGAGCCCCTTTCAAGGATTTCTTTTATTTAATTGTCTAGTTCCTGTTAGCAGTTTCTTTCACCGGATAATAAAAAATAAAAATTAACTTTACACGCGTGTTTACATTCGTACTGAATTAATTTTACGTCTGCATAAAAAAATACAATCCGATAAGCAAGACGTGTTCGCCTTGCCGATGTCCAGAGGAAGTCGCGCATCTGGCATGTACATGAGCGAGGCTGCGCATTCTTATCGGGCAGATGATGGGTACTAACTGGAAGTGTACAACTCAGAACTGAAAGGCCTGGCATAGTCGCGTCGACGTGTCGGAGCATCACTCCCATACCGACTGTTCGGAGCTGTCTTGTATTTCTGATATTTATTATTTCTTATACAGCTTTCACGAGTGCAGGCAAAGATTCATAATAAGTAGTACAGTGAAAAATCTGATGCAAATAAAGAAAGTGAGTTTCAACAGCGATTTCAGTCACTAAATGGTAACGCCAATTCGGCCGACAACAGCATTGGAAGCGGTGGCAGTGGTGGTGGTGGTGGAATCCAAGCATCGCTCAGTGTTCCAGGAAGTCCAATAGCCAAACTCGCTACCGTAGTAACTCATGGTCTCAACTGGCTCCTTGGCGACATCTATTCAAAGCCCTCTCCAGCAAATCCACAACCACCTGCTCCAGCGAATCCGCCATTACCTGCTCCAGCAATTCCACCAACTTCTTCACCAATATATCCACCGACGCTTGCAAAAACCCCACTACCGTATCCCACAGATTCTCCAAATATAAATCCAATCTATCCTCCGAATTACTACCCAGGCGCTAATAGTAAACCTCCGCAAACTGGTAGCTTTGGACCGTACCATTACCCCTACGGTGGTGGTTGGCATCAGTACAGTGCTGGGGGATGGAATTCGTACAGTGGCAGATGGGGTCCACATGGATGGAGTGCATATAACTACAGGTGGGGTCCAGCTTATGGCTAAAGTATGAAGCGGGCAATGAGATTACGAAAGCTGACTTTTCTGGGGAAGTTTTCAAATCAATATTTTAAAGTTT